GAGACCAGGAGCTCTTAGGAGCTACAGGACATGGATTCAAAGCCTTCCTTTGTCAGAGTGTGAAAGAGAATAAGAGGAGGGGTGTAATCCTCATTCTTTAATGAAATTTCAAAATAACAGTACCAAGTGGCAAGTTCCCACAACATTTAGAGCAGAGAATCAAAGACACACCACTGATGGCCATGGGCTTGTTCCAGGCCACCTAAGTGAGGTATGTTTTTCAGGTCAAGATTCTCCAAGTGTTAGCAGGGATAGAATACACCCAGGAAGTGACAGAAGGCGCTTAGGATAAACATAAGATCACATTGGGTTGGCTGTGAAATAGGGGGCCCATGTGATTGTCCACCTCACCTGTAAGAGGTCCAGGAAGAGCTGCTGCATCATGTCCTCCCACAACAGGAGTGGCTTCTCCACAAGCCGCAGACACACCACCTCCTAGCTGTGACTGGGGGATTCATTGATCAGTAACTCCCACATGGCATCCCAGATCCCTGTGAGATCTTTCACGCTGTTCACATACAGGAGCAGGTTGGTGATCCCATTCTTATATTTTCATTACACCCGAACATCATCATCATCCTTGGGCTTCACCACATTTTTAAGAAAAACATCAGTGCCCCTTTTTTAGGCCATGGGGGATGTGTGATTGAACTCAGGGCTTCTACACTAAGATGGATATTAAGCCCTGTTTCTTAAAACTTTATTTAGAGATAAGATCTGGCAATGTTATTTAGTTGCCCAGGCTGGGTTCAAATTTTAATCCACCTGCCTTAGCTTCCCAAAGTTATGGAATTCCAGACATATGAGATCACACAGCTTGAAAATGTCTTACCTGGGTCTACCTATATATATTCACAGCTCTTATATGTCAATATTTCTGGCTTAACTGGGACATGGAGTTTGTAACCCTCTCAACTCTTGCTTCACTGATGATATAATGAAATCTAAACCCCCATGGACTGGTTACAAACATCAGTGCAGTGCCATAAATAAAATTTTAGGGATTGCAACATTCTTGCTTAAAGAGAATTGAAGAGCCCCTACATAATATTTTGAAAGACAGTTTTCTTCCTGGGTTCTCCCACATGGGAATGCATGTGGCACTTCACCCAAGTGACTGGGATTCTCTGCACAAGCCTCATTGGCCG